TCTGGCGCCGCCATCTTGCCCCGACTCCTACATTTTTCAAATTAAAATGGCAATAATTTGTCCTCAAACATCAAATCAACTGACATATACGATCAGTTTCACTGGCAAACTAAATAAGCCTGTGCGGTGTATTGAATTTCAGTACTATGAATATTGTGGAATATGTATAACACTGAACACAAAAATTTAGTAAGGCTGTAATCTCTTTTTAGTCGTGTCTCAAATAGGATCTTTAGTGACTTTATCAATGTGTGCTGTGACCTTTGTGTGTATGTGTGTGTGTGTATGAATGTGTCTCTCTCTGTGGGTGAATATGCTCACACGTGGATGCACACATACATCGTCTTCTCTAAGCATGAAAAATGAAGGCTTTCTGTCCAGTTTGAGGATCAAAGCAGCACTAAGGTTTAAAAAAGTGGCAATTTTGTACATAAGCAGTATGAGAGTAGCATGTGCTTCAGATCCACAGAAGGCAGTTTTCTCTTGCATTTTCTTTCTTTTTTTTGTGAGAGATTTATCAGAAAGCACAGTTCTGAAGGTTCTTCAGGGTTAAAAAGAGAATGCTCTGCCTCAGTACTAAACATGTCCTGAGAGCCCACTTGCTATCCACATACCATGTTTTGATCAATGAAGACCCAGTCTTTCGAGTTGGTAAGGAAGGGATAAGCATATACAGGAATTAGAGGAATTGGCAGAGATGTGGACAGCTCTGATTCATGTGGGTGCTGGTTTATGTTTCCAGCTTGCTAAATTTGGATCTTGGTCATCTTCCAAATGCTTCTTGTTGAAAGCTTGTTTCTCAGGCTGTGGGGCCATTGGAAGGTGGTGGAGCTCATAGGAGGTAGGATCTAGTTGATAGAAGTTATATCAACTATGGAGTGCCTTTAAAGGGAATTTTGGAACTCTCACTCTCTTCTGCTTTCCCTGTGTCTCTGTGTCTCTGTCTCTGTCTTTTTCTCTCTTTCTCTTTGCTTCCTGGCTGCCATGAGGTGGGGAGCTTTCTTTTACCATGCTCTCCCATCATATTGTAATTTGTCAACATATTCCCGAAAACATGAACCAAAATAAACCTTTCTTTCTTATAAACTCATTTATCCCAAGAGTATTGTCATAACGATGGAAAGCTGAATAGCCGTAACTGCCATCTAGGTTAATATTTTAAATATGCACTTATGTGTTTTTTACACCAGGAGAAATATTCCTACAAAGTTGAATATAACTAGACTCTATGTTCTTCCTATTAGAACTGTTAGCTTTTCAGCTTGTCAGTGTGTAATCATTCTTCATGTCCAAGCTCAATGCCACTTCCTACAAGAAATTCTACCTATCCTCTTACTCTAAATTAGGATCTTTTAAATTTTTGCTGTTTATTTCTTTCAAAGAGCCACTTATAGTAAGTATATTATACAGGCTATATGGGATACAATACCACTAGTATATTTTAAGATTGCTTACCTGCTAAAAGTTTGCTTTTTAACATTCAACCATGGCTGTCAGGGCAAGTACTATATGCTGATGATGCAGCCCTTGGTGCGTTGACTGGTAAACATCCAGAGAGAACACATCTAAATATTTCCCCACTTCTTATTGAATTTATGAGATTGTCACAATATTTTATAACCAACCTTCTATTGGCCCAATGCTTTACCACTGCAAGTATTTTGTGGTTCCCTTCTATTGACAATAGGATTTAACATTTAGAAGGACTCAAAAGTTATTTGCCTTATAAAGAGAATCATTCGTTTGCATAAATACTCCATTTTTAAAAAGCTAATGTATTTGATCATAAATATTTCTTTCACACAGGGTTCTCTCACAACCGCTTAAATATATTGTAGCTGCAGGAAAGGGAACTTTAACCTTCCATAATCCCCATAACACTGTTCCATGGAATTTGGGGTACTTGTTTTCTTTTTGCTTCTGGATGACTATAGACAGTAATTTGGTCCCTCGAGATGCTGGACAATCGTTATGTAATGCAAAGCTACGGGGAAAAGAGAGGAAGCTTGATTAGTGCTAATTACCCTGAGTCAGGAGCTGTCTTTTTAGTCCGACAAGATGCAATAAAATTCCTTACACAGTTTGTCAACTAGTTAGAAAGACAGGGTTCCACCATCCAGACCAACACACACTGTCATTTTCTTTCCTGGGAAACAAAACAAAGCCAAGTAAGGAAACCATAGAGTATGTCTTGGCTCTGCTGTCACTGCTGGTTGCCATCCAATTAGTCTTTTTGTCCTTTGGTGCCAAACATCTTAGACAATTGGATATCCAGTTAGAAGACATTCTGCCCCGAATGCCTGGCTAATTATTGCTTAAAAAGTAAGCATACCATAGATAATAAGAGGTCTGGAAGCTGTTGCTTGCCAGTGTGTACAACCCCTCACCAGGTCAGGTGCTTGTATGGCTGTGTCTGTGATGCCCATGTTCCCTCCCAGAAGTCTCTGCTCACACACCATGTTCAAGGGCAGGGAACATGGAAGGCAAGCAGCAGTTTCTCCTTTATTCTCTTGTCTCTTGGCCAGAAGTAAGAAAGCTCCTCATAAGACAATGCAGCCAGTCCTGATGAAACCTGATAGGCTAGGGTCAGATGGAATAGGAGGAGGACCTCCCCTATCAGTGGACTGGTGAAGGGGCAAGGAAGAAGAAAAGGGAGGGAACGTGGGATTGGGAGGGAAAGAGGGAGGAAGCTACAGTTGGGATACAAAGTAAATAAACTGTAACAAACAAAAAAATAAATAAAAATTAAAAATAAAAAAGAAAATTCCTCTTAAGGCCCTAGCTTCTTTTAATGCCTCTTATATTTCATTGGCCAGAAGTGGGTTCCATGGCCACCCTTTCTGAAGAAAAGGAAAGCATTCCATTCCTCTGTCTGTAAGAAACAGAAAGTGGACAAACAGTTCTTCAGGGGTTTGGCTGCTCCAGTGGACACCTGGCAATATTTTTATCATATGGACTGACTTCATGTGGATGGTCTCCTCACTGTCACCAAGTGCTCCATCTGCTGTGGTGCCATGCTTTCTAGAAAGGAGCAGAATGTATTTTTTGTCATAATATTGCATTTTTATTTTCAAATGATTTGTTCTCCAACCCCCAAACATGGTGTTATTTTACTTGAAAAGTGCAGCTTCCCCATGCCAAAGCAATGCTTTCTGTTGTTTTGAGACAGGGTCTCTCTATGTATCCCAGGCTGGTCTTCAACTCTTTTACTTGTGCTCCTCCTGCAGCATTGCAGAGTGTGGGGACTACAGGTCTGTCACCGCACCTGGCTACAAGTTTTGCTTCTATAAATGAAGTCAGATTAGGTGATTTTATGATTTCCGATATTCAAGGGAAGGATTAGTGGATCTTCTTTTTTGTGGTAGGAGGATTGCATTTAGGATTTGTGCATATGAGGTGAGGGCTGTACTATTGAGCTCACTGTCTACTTTTCACCTTGAGATGGAGTCCTGCTAAATTGCTCAGGCTAGCCTTGAAATTGCAATCTTCTTGCCTCAACATTTTCAGTAACTAGGATTACAAGCATATGGGTGCCAGGCTCAGATTTTCTTTGTTATTTCTGAAAAAAAGAGGGAGATAGAAAATCCCCCAACATATTTTCATTAACATCTGTATATTCTAGGAGATAGGATCCTATGTTCTGGGCCCTCAGTCCACAGAGACAGATATCATCAGCCTACCCAGAGGTGTTATTTTGTGTTAGAGAGCTAACACAAAATAGACACACTATCCAGTATTAGGAATGCACTATTCCATCCAGAGAGATCACCTTCCATTAGGAAAGTACCACTCCATCACAGCTTTTCGGTCTCATTCATCAACTCATAGTAGAGAATCTATCTTTGACATCTTACCTGTGGTATTTGGAAGTCACCAAGTGCCCCTGTGGCGTGATGAGATTCACATTTCACATCACCAGCGGAAAAAAAAATAAGTACAAAAATATCCTTGGTTCACAATTCATTATACAATGCTACAGAGTTTCTCAGTACATTAACCTTTCATACGTAAGAAACAAATAGACTGTTTTAATCCTCCTATAACTGTGATTAGTTGAAGAAATTGATTAACCTTAACAATTTCAAGATTTTTTTCATCTGTTCATAATTGCATTCTGCAATTGGAACATTTTTAATGTATTTTTTAGGCAGTCTCGATTTGACCTCTGTGGAGACACTCTGCAGCTCTGGTTTTTATTTGCTTCTTTAATTGGTTTTGGGCAAGCACTTAGAAGCTCCTACTGACTCCCCCCAATGATACTTTCCCTTTTTCATACAAATGCTATCTCTAACTTATTTTTTGGCTGCTTTCACAACAATGCTGATAAAAGAAAGCATTTAATTGGGGCTGGCCTACAGTTTCAGGGGTTTATTCTATTATCATCATGGTGATTATCATCATTATTATCATCATTATCAGCATGGCAGCATGTAGGCAGACATGGTGCTGGAGAATCACTGAGAGTTCCACACCCCAATCAGGAGGCAGCAGGTACAGTGAGAGCCATTGTGCCTGCCTTGGGCTTTTGCTTAAGATTTTACATATATAATATTTCAGTTTGCCTTTTAAGTTATATATGATATGTTGTGATTTGCTACTTCAATGACTAAAGATTAAATTTATGAATTTTTACTATTAGATTACATGGATAGCAACTTAAAACGTTGCTACTAGACAGTGTTACAATTGCCTGTGTATTTCTTCTGTGAGACACCTAGAAAACTGCAGAGCCTTTGGCTCGGCACATAATTTATTTCCTTTGATATGGCTGAATGTTTTCTAGCTCAGATGTAACAATATATACTTTAACCAGATTAAATATTTCAGATTGCCAGTCTTTTCAAATTCTGTCAGTTGTGATGGGTATAAATCGTCTATTAATTACTTCTCTGTTGCTCTGTTAAAACACCACGGCCAAGGCAACTTATGGAAGAAAGCATTTATTTGAGCTTATGATTGCATCAAAAGCCCTTGTCCATATTCATTGTCTATAACTCCTTAGCATTTTATACAGTTTTCTCACCAAGTAGAATTACTTCTCCTGTATATAAATTCTTGTTGTCAAAATTCATGATTCGGCAAAATGGCGGCGCTGGGACGACTCTCCTTCTGACCAGCAGCACTGCAGGATCAGTACAGCAACCAGTAGTCAGAACTCTCAGCCCTAAATCACAAGTGATTGTGTTTCCCAGGTGAGAGGATACCCCACGGTGGGAGACTCAATCAGCTTTAACTCACCCAGCTAAACCTCGGAAGAGATCCCGGTTCCGCCAGGCGCTTGGTCGCCAGCCCAGAGCCACATGCCAGCATGCTCTGATCACTGTCCCAGACTGAACTGTGGGCACTGCAACATCAGAGACTGAGATTTCCAGTCAAGAGATAACCCCACGATGCAGGAAACGATTGGGATCGACCTTAGGCCACCCAGACATCCCCTGGAAAAGACTCGGGGTTCTGTGTGCGCCCAGGAGCCAGCCCAGAGCCAGAGCCGGGAACCCAGGCACCGGCACAGAGTCCTGCCTGCGCCTGACTCACTGCCCCAGATAGAACTATGGGCCCCAGGGCACCAGAGACTGAGTTTCTCTGTCGGGTGCAAACCCACAGGGAAGGGAACGGCTGATCTGACCTCAGAGCACTCAGCCAATACCACCACCCCGAACAGGTCTCAGGAAAAATTACCCAGTTTCGGCAGATGCCCAGGCACCCAATCCCCAGAAACAGAGAAAGGCAAAGCCACGTAAGTCTTTACCTGCGGATTCTACTCGCCATCACAGACAGAACGGCTGTCCCCAAAGCAAAGACTGGGTGTCCATGTCAGAAGGAAACACCACAGCGGGGGGATCATCAGGTCCAACGCTCAGGACACCCAGCTCCAAAAGACTTTCTGGTGTTCTGCTCAGTTCACAAACCCCAAAAGACCAGGAATAACTAGACTCCACTGTAAATACATGAGGTTCTTTTTATTGTAAATTAAAAGTTGCAGCTTGGGCCCACACCCCCCACCGCCGAAGCGGTGGGAGCCGAGCACCCTGTGCTCAGGTTAGTTAGGTGATTTAAAGATTCTGGTCCATCCCAACATGCCCAAGGCAGGGGCAATTCCTGCCTGGCAAGCATCTATTGGTTGGCTATAGGATGGTCCCCAGACTATAATGACCTGGTGTCCCTCCCTAGGGGGATGGGCCAGTTTCCTAAGCAACTGTGTCTCTAGTGGGTGGGGAAAGAATGCAGTAAGGCAGTCCTTCCCCTCAGGGTATTACTAGACTTCTCCCCCCACCTAGTTCAGGCCTTAATAAATAATAGCTGATTTTTAATCTTTTGGTCTCTCATTTCCCCCTTTCCCATGATCATTTGAAGACCCAATCTTGGGTCTTCCAGATATGACCCCTTATATCCTATAGATTTACCTTTTTATAATGGGATCTGAGTACCATTAGTGTATTGCTTTCAAGCATTTCTTTGTGAAAGCCATCAAGCAATTTAAAAAACAAGGCCCAAAGATAAAAATCAAAATGAGTAGGGGTCCCTTCAGGGTGGATATAGGGGTAGTAAGCCAAAGAGAACTATTATCCTTTTTTTTCTAGTGTCTCTCTAGGCTTTTATCCCAGTTGCTGCAATATTAGTTTCCATTTCAGATAAGCAGATGCCCAAGATAATAGCTAATGCCAGGGAGCCAGCCCCATTTGACTTAGCATTTCAGCCTGCTAGGGGGCATTTGGGCAAAGATCCATCTTCTGGAGCTTCTTCAGTGCTGACCATTGGACCGTTGGCATCAGGGGCTAGGGAGGCTGAAATGCCAGGCAAAGGCTGGGCAATGGGGCAGTCAGAATCACCTGGTTAGTTGATCCACCCGAAGAGGCAGGGAGCAATCTTGTCAGTTTCCAGGAAGTCCAGATTTCAGCTTGCAGTCCATAGCTGATCCCGGAACAGAGTCAGACAGGTGAAAATCTGCTGAGACAAATTCAGACTGGAGACAGAAATTAAAATTTGTCTATTAAATGGGAAAAGTGAGGAATCCCAAGACCAGGGAAAAACTCATCTGGGTTAAGTTTGAGCTATGCCAGATCCAGGTCACATAACTTTTTGATTTCCTGAAACTCATGTTTTTTTATTTATTTTTTATTTATTTATTTTTTGGCACACAAAAGTATATATATATATATATATATATATATATATATATATATATATATATATATCCCAGACAAGTAACATATTAGCAAATTGAATATAACAAAATTTTGAGAGTAACAGGTAAAACTGCATCCCACTGAATGAGTATCAGTTAGCTGTTTGTTTTATAACCTTTATAAACAACTTAAATGTGTCCACAGTAACATTTCTTTTGTGGGCATAGCTGTTGGTAATCAGCCATGAATAGAGCTTGGCCATTTTTATACAGTCAGCATCTACTTTTAGCCCCCATCTTCATGTTCACACTGGAAAGTTAGGCAGAAATACATTACTGGCTTTAGTGCTAAACCCTGGATGCTGGGATTTTTCTTTATAAAGTAACTAGAGGGAATAGGTTTACAATATTGCTGTGTCAAAGTCTACCCCAGAAATGGCAGCTATTAAGAATACCATACTAAAAGCTATGACTTTTGGGTCAGATATACACATTAAACAGATGTTTTTAACATGACGAGAAGCACCTTTAAGTCTATCTCCAGAAGACAACCAAAGGAAATTAAAATTTCAAGGTGGTGACTGAAAAATAAGCAGTCAGTGCTCTGTCAACTTATCAGAACTCTATTGATCAATGCCAAAACTCTGAACTTCTGAAATATTATAACATAAGCACAACAGTATCAAAGAGGGGGGAGAAATCTAAAGTATCTCCCATTTTTAATATGCTTTAAATATTTTTATATCATTATAAGTTATATTCATATGCCTTAAGTCATTTACTTAAGACTCCAATCTTTTTGCATTTATTAACCCTGAAACATTTTCCCAGACCAAATAACACTCCAGATTTTTATAACCGAAACTCTTATATCCACAGACCCTACATAAGCTCCATATTTTTTATATCCATTTATTTATCTTAAGGCAAAGGCAACTAACATGAATCCTGTGAGCAAGGCAAACCTATTTTCCATTCTAAATAAGATCTCTAGTACCTAGTAGTTCTAGCTAACTAATGAACTGATCAATGAGCTAACAGTGGATCTAATTGTCTGCTCTTTAGTTGCAAAGCTACCATTAGCTTAGTATAGCCATCAAATTGTTCAGAGACCTGAGAAGGATAAATTATAAGCTAAATAAATATGCCAATCCATGTGCCAATCAAAATGACAGAGATGACTAGTCATAACATCATGGGCAGAGGTGGTCCAGCCAAGCACAGATGAGAGACTGCTTCTGTGGAAAGAGGAACATGAGAGATTGACCTCACCTTGCCTCTCGCAATGTGAAACAATAGCTCTTTAGGTATCCACGCCTTTGTCCACAGTTTAGGCTGGGCCCTACCAGTGGGCCAGTTGGGGTAGTATTGCCCAGTGGTTAGCATACCACAATCCGGAGTCGCCTTCATCTGTTGTGCCCAAATCTTCTCGGACACCTTGAGGGAGCTACTGCCAGGATTTTGGGACTCTCTGTCACAATAAGCTTTCATGTTAAAATGCCATATTTATCAGATCTCTGGCAAGCTTGAGGGCCAGCATATCTGAGTTTCTGAGTTAATCTTTGTCTACCTTTATCTGCTCTAAACTGTGTCCTTTAAAACAGAATGCTATACTCTCTAATTCTGGCAATTTCCTTAAGTGCATCTTTTAGAACTATATTTTAAGTAGCCTAGGCTTAACCTTAAAAAAACCTAAATAAAGAGACTAGGTAAGGCTCAACTGCAGTATAACCTTAAATCTGCTCTTTCTGAACTAAAATCAAAGCAAACCTTTTAATCAGATACAGTTCATAAAGAGGCTAGCAAATCTTGCTGCTCCTACCACTTGCATTAAAATTGAACAGTAAAAAGCTTTGTACTTAGCACTAATCAGAGGCCTGAACATAACTGGTAGACCTACACAAAGATGGTCACAAATTCAATGTCTCCACCCTCTGTATCTCTGGACCAGCATGGTGGCTAGCCATGTGTTAGCACAGGCTGTGACTGACAATACCAAACATAGCCAAACACTGTGGAGCATCCACAATCCCCCACAACCAAAGTTCTAACATAGTGATCAAATAAGTTTTAGAACCAACTGCATAACAGAACAGTACAGAACAATTTAAAACTGCACGAATTATTTTAGCCATACCAAACCTAGCAGCCAGAATTCTTTCCCCTTAAAAGAGCATAAGAAAACAATGAAGAATCACCAGCCTTTTAAATGAATTATAACATATTTTTAAATACAGTTCTTTCTCAAATCATATTAACTCTCTGGCTTTTTATAATATATTCACTAACCTTCTGCAACATTTTATATACCTTCAGTTTCCTAGCTTCGTTCTTCTGGCTTAACCATTCTTATTTTAGACAAGCTATTTTTTAAATATCTCTTGCTCTCTCCCTTCCTTTTCAGACAACACAAAAACTCTCATCAAAATACTTTCCATCCTGACATGATTCTGCTGGAGCCCAGTGTCCATGATTTGCTTTTGATAGGAAAAGCAAAAACAAGTTACATTAATACAAAAAGAAGTTCTGAACCTGCTAAACTCTTTCTCTAAAATTACTTCCCTGTAGCAGATATGGTCCAAAGTCACATAAACAAACTCTAAGGAACTTAGAACAAGTTTAGGGTGAAAACATGTTTTCCGATAAACAAAGCAGCATAACAAGCAAACAGCTTCCTCAAGATACATTGTAAAAACTGCAATTTTCTCAATTAGCTCAAACCATATGGCTTGGTTTCATTTACTAAAATTAATAAAATAAATACCAAAATTTTTTGTTCTCCCCCAAAAGGATCAAGAAATTGTTTCAAATTTTCTGTTATACTACCCAAGATTATTTTCTAAAATGCCTGATAAACTTTAAACATTTTAGAGCTTTAAACATTTAAACATTTTTTAAAACCTGTTTTTGCAATATCAAACTAAAGTACCCCTTTTGTAGGAGAGGAGTCACAAAGCATAACCATAATTTTAAAAGTCAAAACCAGATTTTAAAACCAGAATTTACCAGTGTAAACAATTTAATTTTTAAAACCAATACCAATTTAAAATAACTCTGCCAAGTAGATTCTCCCCACCCCAGGACCCAGCAAGCACCAGAAATTAAAAGACAACGCCAGCATAAAAATCACAACCAAAAAAGGCAAAGCAATATGGGATCCCCAGAACCCAGTTATCCATGGATGAGTAGCCCTGGACACCCTAATATAAGTGAAATTCAAGAAGATGACCTTACATCTATGCTTATGAAGAGGTTAATGGAGGTAGCAAATAAAATGCGTGAAGATTTAGGGGAAGATATAATAAAACAGATTATGGTCATTCATAAAGAAATACAGGAAGATGCAGCCAAACAGCTTGTGGCGTTCAGAGAGAAAATGATTAAATCACTGAAAGAAATAAAAGAAACAGAGGAACATTTAAAGAAATAGCTGAGAAAATTGAAGGAAAATATAATCAGACAGGTGAAGGAAATCAACAAAACTCAAGATCTGAAGATAGAATTGGAAAAATTAAAGAAAACACAAATGAAGGAAATTGTTGAAAGAAAGAACTTAGGGAAGAAAACAGGAACTACAGAGATAAGCATAACCAACAGACTACAAGAGATGGAAGAAAGAATCTCAGGTGTGGAAGATACAATGGAAGAAATTGATGTATCCGTCAAAGAAAATAATAAATCTAAAAAATTCCTGACACAAACCATCCAAGAAATCCAAGACAACATAAAAAGACAAAACCTAAGAATAATAGGAATAGAGGAAAAAGAGGATTCCCTCCTCCAAGGCCCAGAAAATATTCTCAACAAAATCATTGAAGGAAATTTCCCCAATTTAAAGGAGAGGCCTATAAGACTACAAGAGGCTTACAGAACACCTAATAAATTAGAACAGAAAAGAAAATCCTCCAGCCACATAATAATCAAAACAGTAAGTATACAGAACAAAGAGAAAATACTAAAAGCTGCAGGGAAAAAGGCCAAGTAACATATAATGGCAAACCCATAAGAATCACACCTGACTTCTCAACAGAGACTATAAAAGCCAGAAGGGCCTGAACAGATATCATGCAGACCCTAAGAGAACACAGATGTCAGCCTAGGCTACTGTACCCAGCAAAACTCTCAGTCCTCATAGACAGAAAAAACAAGATATTCAATGACAAAAACAAATTTCAACAATACCTACACACAAATCCAGCATTACAGAAGACACTAGAAGGAAAAATACAACCCAAGAAAACTAACTACTTTCAAGAAAACACAGGAAATAAATAATGTCACTACAGCAAAACCAAAAGGAGACAAACACACAAACACACTACCATAGGCAACATCAATATCAAAGGATCTAACAGCCACTGGTCATTAACCTCCCTCAACATCAATGGACTCAATTCTCCAGTAAAAAGAAACAGACTAACAGAATGGATGTGGAAACAAGACCCAACAATCTGTTGCATATGAGAAACACACCTAAATCACAAAGATAGACATTACCTCAGAGTAAAGGGCTGGAAGACAGTTTTCCAAGCAAATGGACATAAGAAGCAAGCAGGAGTCGCCATTCTAATATCTAAAAAAGTATATTTTCAACCAAAATTAATCAAAAGAGATAGAGAAGACCACTTCATACTCATCAAGGGAAAAATCCACCAGGAAGATATCACAATCCTGAACATCTATGCCCCAAATGCAAGGGCAACCACATTTGTAAAAGAAACATTAATAAAACTTAAACCACACATAGACTCCCACACATTAATAGTGGGAGGCTTCAACACCCTACTCTCAACAATGGACCAGTCAACAAAACAGAAATTAAACAAAGAAACAATAAC